ACGTTTGCAAGTTAGACTCCTAAAAACACCTTTGCTCATGTGCAAACAAGTGCGCGCGCACAACCGCGGATGATTCATTTTCCACTCAAGTCGAGTCTGGGGTGTGCGATATACAGCATCGTCTGCGATAATATGGTAAGTGTTGTTGTAATGATCTGACATTATCAAGTAGGCTATATCACCAAATCAGACACAGAGTGCACGCACGTTGATTTATTTGTCTATTAATACTCCAAATTCCAGGCATTCTAAATTGTAGACGGCAAAAATGCTTCTGTATCTATTCTTTTTTTTTCACATTTACTAAATGTAAATTTCACTGAAGCTATTGCTATATTGTAGTTTTTTTTCCTACAATGCATTTTATAAGAATATGCAGAAATTGTCTTTGTTCTTCAGTTTTTTGTTCAGTCTTCTTGTGCTGTATCATTTCCCCTCTTAAAGTATGATTTAGGGCATGCATCTTTTATGAAATTGGCATTATTAAAGTCTGTTTGACCACATGGAAGCTGAATAGTTTAAAAAATCATAGTTATAAGTATTTTTATTTACGTATTTTTGGTACAAATAATGTTGTGTTGCGATATTTACAAATAATTTTAATTTTATGAGAATTTACTTACGTTGTCTATTCAAATCATGTCTATAAATAAAAAAAAATTATTTTATGGTTTCATTTGGTTTTTACGTTTTGTTTTTGTGTTTACCTATTGAATGAATCAGCTTTTTGAACGAATCGGTGTAATATGATTCAGTGATTCACTCATTAACACAGTCAAAAGCTTTGTTTCTGAATGAATCAGTCGTTTGAATGAATAGGTTTTATCTCAATGACTCACTCATTAACAGTCAGTTGCTGTCACCTACTGGTGGTTTTAATTTCACATTTCTATTATTTTTTTCATGTTTTAAATCATTTCAAATATCAGTATTCAACGTTTTATGTAAAAAACAAAACATTATATATGCGGTTTCATTTGGTTTTTACGTTTTGTTTTTGTTTGGTTTCATTTGGTTTTGCTTGGTATTTGTTTGGGTTTCTTTTGCCTTGTTTTTGTTTTGTTTCATTTGGTTTTGCTTGGTATTTGTTTGGGTTTCTTTTGCCTTGTTTTTGTTTTGTTTCATTTGGTTTTGTTTGATTTCATTTTTTATTTGTTTGTTTTGTTTTGTTTTTTTATTTGATTTGTTTTTGTTTCATTTGGTCTGTTTTTGTTTTTGTTTTTTTTGTTTGCTTTTATGGTTTGGTTTTATTTGGTCTGGGTTTTTTTTTTTTTTTGGGTTGTTTGGTTTTGTTTGCTTTTGTTTGGGGCTTTTTTTGTTTGTTTGGTGCCGTTTTGTTTTTTCATTATTTTTGTTTTGCTTTGCTTTTTGTTTTGTTTAACAAAATACTAAAGTTATATGGAGTTATATGACCAGAATGTGCATCTTGTCTATTCAAATTACGGCTAAGTGAATTCCAAACGTGATACTCTTTAGTGGTTTTCAAGTATAAATGGTGAATACAGACCTGTAACCTCTAGTCTGATGTGGGGAAATATGTTATATTGAACATTCGACAGTAACCTTTTCAAATAAAATGATACAAAAATAAAGTTTCAGGCACAAATGGCCTTTGAGAAAGACATGCCACAATAGTGATGAGTGACAGAAGAGTGGCAGTGGTGTTACTCTGAACAGTGGAGGAAACTGGCATGTTGTTTCCACACCTCATTTACAGAAGCTTTGATGCTCATTCAGCCTTCCAGTGTATAACATTCAGTGCGAGTTTTATAAGGAGCTTATAAACAATAGAACCGGAATACAAGATGGATGGAAACATACATACACAGGCTGACAGCACATACTCATACACACATCCATGTGTACACACACACACACAAACACACGCACACACAAACACGCGCACACACACACACAAACACACGCACACACAAACACACGCACACTGACACACACACACACACACACACACACACACACACACACACA